GAAAAGCTATGTATACTGGACCAAAATGGATAAAGATATTGAAAAATTATAAAAGCCTGCAGAGGTTGTGCTCTGGTAGCAAAATCACCTACCACAAAATTACAACCTTGGCTAAAGACAGATATTCTGTGGTCAAAACTGCACATAGATTTCACGGGTCCAGTAAATCCCATTATCTTGTAGTAGTGGATAGTTTTACTAAGCGGCCTGAAATTTGTAAGTGCAAAAAAAAAACAACTTCCACAGTTACATTATTTACATTATTCAGACTATTGTCCTCATCTTTGTCGCCATATTTATTACGTTTCGGCTGTTCAGCCTTCTTCAGGTGGTTGGAATGTCGAACTTAACTCTTTATTTTGCTCACTGGGGTAGACTGTTCTAGTTCCACGTGCCATGTTTAATGGATGTCAGTTATCAGTTATCTCTTGTTAATTTCCCTCTGAAAGTTCTCCACTGCCTTAACCGGGTATTGAACTCACACTCTTTGGGTCCTGAAACGTTGTAATAAATATGACAACGATGAGGACAATAGTCTGAATAATGTAAATAATGTACATAATACCTCATCTCAGAAATATAGACAGATTCCACAGTTAGAGTGAATTTTTTACACAAACTGTCTGCAAGTCTTGGATAACGGTACACAATTCACTGCTTACAAATTTAAAGAATTTTGTAAAATGTTCTCAATTGAACATATTACTACCTCACCATATCATCCAAGGCCAAACAAACAAGGTGAATGGTTTGTGGATACTTTTAAGAGAGCTTTGAAAATAGGCAAGTAATGAAAAAGTGAGCAAAGAAGCAGTACAAAAATTCTTGAGAGTATATACTGGATAATGCTGAATCTTAATACACTGGCAGGCATAGTACCATCAGAATTGATGCTCACAAGAAAAATTAAATCAGTGTTTGACAAGTTGTTACCAGGTCAAAAAAGAATAAGAAAAGGATAACAAAAAGGACACAAAATGTTTCAAAATTGACAAAAATGTGTTTTTCAGGGTAAATAAAAATGGAAAAGAAATGTGGGAAGATGGTGTAATAAGGTGAAGAATTGGAAAAATTATATATATGGTAAAAGAAAAGAAATGGGAACACAAAATGCATTGGAATCAGTTAAAGAAAAAGTTTACTGAAGAAAGGACCACCAGAGAGGAAGAGGCTGTGAAAGTACTGTATGATACTTTTGATGTACCAACGCTCCAAGAATTCATTGACTGTACAAGTATGATTACCAGACAAAGAACACATATAGATTAAACTAGAGTTGATCTAAACTGAAAGAAATACAAAGTTCAGTACGTTGGTGAACTTGTCAGAAAGAGTGGTGGGGGAATGAAAATTAAAAATTTGGTGAAGATATCTAAATTTATCTAAATTATTGTAATTCCACTTCCACAATAACACCAATACATGCAATCTACATAAACCCAAATTTTAAAACATTAATCAGTTTGTCTGACGATCGCTAAAAGCGTGAAACCCAGGGTCACAAACTCACATCTATCCAACCAAAAATATATATATATATATATATATATATATATATATATATATATATATATATATATATATATATCTCAGTCTCTTAATATCTATCTATCTATCTATCTATCTATCTATCTATCTATCTATCTATCTCAGTCTATTAATATCTATCTCACTTTATTAATATCTATCTCTGTCTGTTAATATCTATCTATCTATCTATTTTCTTTCAAGTTTTAATTTTGGTTCACTAATCTCATCTTCCTCTTTGTCCTACTCCTCATCCTACTCCACCCCTTCATCCATCTCCTCTTTAAACATTCCCCTCATTTCATCTTCCCCTCCTCTTCCTACTCCTTCCTTCCCCTCCTCTTTCCACCACTATCCAACCCTTGATCCCCATGTCTAGTAATTTAATGTAGATGGTAGCATTGACCTTGAAGTCCTGTGGAAAAGAAGTGAAGCAGCATGGCATCGACGTTTTTGCTCACAATCCCGAGAGGATGTCAAATCATGTGTGCATCCCCACTTAAACTCTGTGAGGTTTGTGCAGAACCACTTACTCTTCCTCAGATTCACTTAATCACTTATAAGAAGCTTTTTTTTTTCATTTCACCCCAAGCAAGGTGATAATGACATAAAGACACAAGGGGGTTATTGGGAGTGAAAGAGAATGAGGAGACTTTAGGAGAAGGAACTGGAAACCCAATCCTAAACAGGAAACAAGGGACAAACCTCTACAACTGTAAGCTTGAATGTACATGTAGCATTACGACTGGGAATTAAAAAATCAGAGAGCTGAGGTTGAATTCCAGTTAAGTTTGTTATATTTACTTATATATGTATGAATCCATCTCTTCTCCTTCTTATAGGTTAAATAGCAGGATAAACTGGGTTCTATAGCCTTGGTTAACAATCATTCTAAAGATGGTGATTTGATAAAATCACTCATCTCCTAGCAAGGTTGGGCCACATGTGGGGAGGCCCATGAAGACTCACTGTGACTGAAAATGGGCAGAGAAAGCATTGATGATCTCCATTTATCCCAGTAGCAATAAGTTCTTCCAGAACTGTGTTATAAGGCTTAAGTTGTCCATAATTAGTTTGAGAAGCGTTCTAAAAACTTTTGACAAATGGTGTGGCCATGAAATTCACAAGATATGAGCCCAATTAAGCATTTATGGGGTTGGGTGGAGAACACTGTTCATATACAAGATCCTGCACTTAGAAATATCAAGCTTATGGCCACATCATGTTGAAACATTGGTTCCTATATGATTACTGAAGTTAATAAACATCAAGCTTAGTCAGTACCTAGATGGGTGACCTCTTGGGAATACCAAGTGCTGTAAGCTTGGATGTGCAGGTGGTGTGAGGGATAATAGCTCATAATTGTTAATCGGAGAGCCAAGTTCTAATTCAAGTTGGGTTCATTATATTCACTTATGTGCAAATACCCTTGGGAAAGCTACTTCTTCTCCTCCAGCTATGGGTTAATTAATAAGACTTGTATTGCAAAATCATTATTATCTCAAAAAAATAATTCTTACAATCTAAAAGTATTTTCTGGTTTTAAATAACCTGCAAAGGGTTGATAAACCATAGAAAATCAATCAATGATAGAAATATCATAGTGCTGTAGATAGTTATTATGATGGTATGGCTCAGCATCTCTACAGAGATCTTCTGACTACTTGTGGAATCAATAAGTTGCTGCACTTCTCCAGGCTAGAGGGGGTCCTATACAATACTAGGCAACTAATCCATGGCTTTTGAAGAATCTGCAATGTTATTGGTCCTGACTTGGCATCTCAGATTCACTCATTTTCCCACCATTGCAACCAGTGGTGACAAATTACTGGTTTGCACAAACTGATTCTTAAAATTATAAAAGGTTAGTGAACTGGGTGTTGGATTATCCAAAAATAATCTTATATATTAATAGCCAATGGTCTAGGTAAAATGTTAATTATTCTATACCTAATGTGCGCCTAATGAAATTTTAATAGACACGTGCCCCTTATCATATCAATAAACAGCAGTCAGCAGGAATGAAAAAAAAAAATGAAAGAAAGGCATTGATAGATAACAGTTTCTAAAGAATTTCAGCTCTTCGGCAAAGTCTTTGACGCTTTAATCAACATCAAAGTGGTTAGGTACCTTACATCCCATGATCTTCTCTCTGACAAGCAATATGGTTTCTGCTTTGCCTGATCTACTGCTGGTGTACTCACGGCCATAACTGAATTTATTTACCAAGCACTTCACAATAAATGAAAAGCTTGTGCCATGGCTCTAGATATCTCTAAAGTGTTTTATAGGGTTTGGCATGCCATCCTTCTTCGTAAGCTTTGAGGATACAGAATTTCAGGACAATTATTTGACTTAATACAATCATTCCTGTCAGACTGTGTAATGAAGGTCGTCGTTAACGGATTCTCTTCCAGTTCCTTTCTCACAAACGCAGGTGTTCCCTAAAGCTCTATCCTGTTCCTGACCTTCATTAACGATCTTCCCAATGTCATCAGTTCCCAAGTAGGCATCTATGCAGACAACACTACTATTTACTCCTGCCTCAATAGAAAATCCAGTATCACTGAAAAAACTAACCTGGACATTGGTCTCGAAAAGGACTTCCAAGCTGTGGTTGACTGGGGCAGGAAATAGCTGGTTAACTTTAATGCCTCAAAAATAAAACTGCTTTCTTTTACCCCCCCCCCCCCCAGAGAACCCTCCCTGCTTCCCATTAGAATGTCTGATGTTCAGCTCCATGAGAGCACCTCTTTGTGACTGCTTGGTCTCACATTGTCCGCTAACCTGAGATGGAACAATTACATTGAATCAATAGCTTCATCTACTGCAAGGAAAGTTGGTTCTATGTGTCGCCCCAGAAAGTTTTTCTCACCTGAGTCCATCCTTCAAATTTATAAATCAACCATTCACCTTTGCATGGAATACTGCTGCCATATGTGGTCTGGAGTCCTCACTGTTTGTCTCAAGGTCCTCAACAAAATGCAGAGATGGATATGCAATGTGGTTGACCCTGATCTGGCATTTGGTTAAAAGTTGCTCTCTCACAGATGTGCTGTCACTTCCCTCTGTCTTTTCTACAAATACTTCCATGGTAACTTCTCCGACGAGCTACTTTCGCTGGTTCCCAAACTGCATGAATTTAAACGTGCTACTAGGTTGGCATCTCAGTCCCACCCTTTCACTGTCGAAATGGTTAAATGTAGCCATCTCTTCTACTCCAATACCTTCATCTTTTGCACTTCCCATGTATGGAACTCCCTTCCTTTTACTTGCTCCACTGATAGCTATAATCTTCAATTATTCAAATGCAAAGTCAAACGACATCTTCAGATGCCTTGATCTAATTCCTTGTCCTTCTCTTCATCCTTTCCTCTATCATTTCTCTTTACTCTTGCTCCCACTCTCTGTAACCGCCTTACTTGGGGTGAAATGCTTAAAAAAATATTAATTTTGTTGAAAACAATATCCATTACAGTGCCTGATATTCCCAAGCAGTTGCCCATCTAGGTACTGACCAGGCTCAATGTTGCTTAACTTCAGTATGAGAACCAGTGTTTCAATGTGATATAGCCATAAGGCACTGTAATTTGTAGAAAAATCAATATACCGTCTATTGTAATCGGCTAATGTGTAGCACATAAATTCCTCCTATGGGTGAACTTCCACTTTTTTTTGGCAATGATGGCATGACAAGGAAAAAGAGAAGTAATAAAGGGGCAATAGTTACTTAGAGTAAGAAAAATCAGGAAGTTGTAGAGAGCCATGACTGTTCAAATCATTAACTTATAGATAGAAGATTGTTAGTACATATTTTGTTGATATGGACCAAAAAGCTTAATAACAGTGTAGCGTAGATTTTTAGGAGGAGAAGTGCTTTTCATTCTGGGTGTCACATCACCCTGGTGTGTCTGTTAGGATGAATAGTTTGATGAGAGTGAGAAAATGTACTCATCATAGCAGTTTTTTTCATCAGGAAATTTTAGCTGAAAAACATTAAAACAAATAAACCTCTGTCACTGTTGGTTAAGATATGTAAAAGTGAAAAGTGTAAAAAGAGGACGGCTAAAAAAAACATATCTTCCATGAATTCGGTGTTAAGAGAAGTTGTCTGTGTCAATTGACCTTGACACAGTTGACAATTGAGATGGGTGGAAGATATAAGGGTAGGCAAGCATAAAGTCAAGTTGCTTGTTAATTTTCTTTCAAGCTCAAATTTCCAATCAATTAAAATGTAAAGTGATTTAAATTTAACCTAAAATTTTCAACCATGGTGTTTTTCTGATATGAATCAAAATGCAATATCCTGGTAAAAACAAAGAAAGGGTTTGTCCCCTTTTTTTATATTGCTTTATACAAAACCACCTAGTAGATGTTAGAAGGAATTCTCTAGAAGGTAAGGTAGTTTTGGGTTGGTTTTTGTTTTGCGGCATATCAACCTCAATGGGTTATTTAATGCCAACAAAATTTTTATTGCTGGTAATATGTTTTTCTTCAAAAATCTATTTCTGGAAATATTTTTATATTAATAATCTATAGCTGGTCATATTTTTTCAAAGAATGTATAACTGTTTGTATTGCTGGTATTTTTTTTTTTTAAAGTATTGCTGATAATAATTTTTCCTTCAAAAATTATTGCTGGTAATAATTTTTTTTATTACAAAGTATTTCTGGTATTAAAACCTATTTTTACACAAGTTTGGGTTTTAACTATTTGCCCATAGCTGGGACCCTAACAGGTGCTACCACCCTGGGTCAGGGTGGACCTGGGAACACTAGCAATTAAGAGGTGGTTCCACGCTCCTCAAAACCGCCTTGCTGCTGGACATAGTTTATTGCCTTACCCAGTATGCGGGTATAATTTATCGTCATACCCAGGATGACAGGCAAGGTGGGGGAAATCCCATTGGTTGTAGGTATGATCATTTAGCTTTGCAAATAAGACTGGACTTGATAACCATTGTTCAACCCACACCACAGAAATGTTTGTTGCCAGTATATTAACTTCTTTTACATGACTGTAATATTTCTTTGTTCCATTCAAAATAAATTTTTTTTATTCTATTTTTTTATTATTAATTTCATGTGTAAATTTATATTTTCCAACTGACAGGAATTACAGTAGTTATGTGAAAGTAATGATAGCTTTAGTTGTCATTTACTAAATTTAAGTTAGTCTAGCACAAGGGCAATCTCATGGGGCACATGGTGAACATGGCATGAAATTTCCACAGTACCCATGAAATTTCCACAGGTCAAACTCATCAAAGTTAATTTAAGTGATTGAATAATATATAAAGTATTTCTCTTTACAAATTATAAAAAATTATGCAAAAAATTACAACCTTCTACTCCTTGGCATAACTTAGAGCGAAGACATTTTAAGCTAATGGGGTGTTTGGATGGGACTTTTTTGCTAAGCCTTGTTTCTGAGCCTGTTTATGGTGACACTGTCTGGTTGACCTGAAATTTTCAACTCAGGTGTTTTGCTGATATGGACCAAAACACAATGTTCTGGTGTGTCATAGAGTGTAGTTATGGTTGTAGCAAGAGACAAATTTTGTCACTACAGCAATAAAAACATAAAAAAGGAATGTTCTAATAAAACGGATTAAAAAGAGAGCTATTTCTCTAGATTATTTTCAGCTAATTGGAAGAATGGAATCTTAAACCCAAAACAATTTTTAAAGATAGCTTGGGAAACTAACTGTATGAAGGAGGTGGCCATCTGGTTTAATTACTCTGACTTTGGGTAGATAGTCATGTTAGATCAGGTCAGCAGATCAATTGACATTTCAACAGGGAGTAGAAGAGGCTGGTAGGCTCCATGACTAACAAACAAACCCAGGCACCATTTTCTTCTATGTGCCATGTCCCTTCAGGACGTTGGTGATCAAGGCTCTTCACAATTTCCTGTCATTTGTAGCTCTTAATAAATTTTGTCCTTTTTTTTTTTTTATCTCTCCTCCGCCTTGTTCCACCATCCATTTACTCAAGCTCAATAGGTAGGTTATGTTTTCTTCTGTTCCTCTTGCCTGTCCTGGGAGTATCAAATTTTCCAAGCCCTCTTTCCTCATTATGTGCCCTAGAAATTTCAACTGTCTCTTCCTGAAATTAAGTATAAGTGTCCTTTTTCTTTCCATTTTCTGTAAAGCTTTATTATTGATCACATATTCAATCCATAGTATTCTCAGCATCCTTCTGTAGAACCACATTTCTGTTGTTTGAAGTCTCTTCTTCATCTGTGAGGAGATTGTCCAGCATTCACTGTAGTGGTGAAGTGGCGGAAACTGTGATGCCAGGTCAAGAATTTCTTTGGATTTTATCAAGAATTTCTAAATACACTGCATAAGCACCAGACCAGATATGGCAGCATTATTCAAAGCCTGGGTGAAAGGTAGACTTATAAATATGTAAGATAAATTTGGGTGATAAAAAAATTGCCTAGCATCACACAGTGAACCAACTTTCCTAGCTATAGATCTAGCAATTTATTCAATATAATCTATATTTCTGAGATGAGGTGTTATGTACACTATTTACATTATTCAGACTATTGTCCTCATCATTGTTGCCATATTTATCACAATGTTTCGGCCTGCTTCAGGTGGTTGGAATGTCGAACTGAACACTTTATTTTGCTGGCTGGAGTAGACTGTTCTAGTTCCACATGCCACATTGAATGGATGTCAGTTATCAGTTATCTCCTGTTAATTTTCCTCTCCAAGTTCTACTACTGCCATAACCAGGTATTGAACTCACACTCTTTGGATCTTGTCACTGGATCTAACTAATGCCTTTATCCACTGTGCCATATGTCCTTGAGGAAAAAAATGTTGTGATAAATATAGCAACATAGATTCAATATACTGTTTCCATTTCATGGAAAACATTACTCCTAGAAGATGCTATGAGTTATTTATGATAAATAAACAAACTCTTTCTGTTTCAATTTCATACTAAGTAAGAGTGTTTTTTTTATTGCACATCTAAAGAAATATTAATTAACTAATTTTTTGGTACTTTAGAAAATCCTCATAAAATCCTTAAAAATTAGTTGTCAACACCCATGGAATTTCCACAAGGAAGCTTTTCAATGCTAATTTTTTTTTCTCTTGAAATGAGTTAATATTTCTTCTTACATATTAATTATCAGTTTACCTGATATTAACATTGCAAACTAGAATTCACTCCTTTTTCTGTAAAATAAAGACTTCTTATATATAGTGTCACCACGTCAAAGAAAATTCTGCCGTCAATGGAGATTAGGCATTCTCTGATAAGTATCTACCTCAAACTGCTTATTGTCCTTTATGTTCACACTCTACACTCTAACGCTAAGTAAGTGCTTATTTACTTACTTAGAGAGGTCAGGTAACAGTTAAAATTGGTGTGGCATAGTTTATTGCGCACCCTACGTCATCTTAAATGTCGGAAATTTTTATTTTAAAACTTAAAAGAAAAAAAGAAAAAGGATTTTGAGCTGATTTTTTTGTTTTCAAAATTTTATCGTGTTACTTTTTTTTTAGTTTTAAGAAGTTTTCAAAATTTATTTTTAATAGAGAAAAAGAAAAAGAGAAAAAAAAGATAACAAAAGTTACGTCCCCCTAAATTGAACGAAATTAATTTTCTTTTTTTTAAAACGTTTTTTTTTTTTTTAAGCATGGATCAGAAAGAAATACACAAAGAAAAATAAGGTAATTATGAAACTTATTCCCTAATTTCCTTGAATATCTATAGGTTACAACGAGCAGGTAAAAAAAAAAAAAGAAGTTTGTTTTCAAATTGTACTTTATTTGCAAATATCATTTAACCAGAAAGAAAACTTGATAAAAGTTCACGTGAAAGGTGAAAATAAAATAAAAAAAATGTTATCATACCTTTCTTAGCTATTATTACTTTTTTTTACCCGAAGAAAATTATTTTGTGAGGTCATGGTTGAATTAACACTTCATAGGTTATTTAAATGATGTAATTTTTTAAAATCGTAAAACTTTGTTTCGTTCTTGATTTAAATAATCTCGTGTTTTTAAAAAATGAGATTTTTAACTTTAAAAGCCCACCTGTTATCAAGGTAACACTTTCGGATGTTTTTTTTTTTTTGTGTGTGTGTGTGTGTGGAACACGCGTCACGTATGTTAAAAGTTGGTCAAGCAAGAAAAAAAGGGGGGGAAATTGCTACCCCAGCCAGAGAGACCTAATTTTAAAAGTTTGCTTTTATTTCTTTTTTTTTTTCTTTAAATAAAATTTTATAAAGAAAGGATGAAATCTACATTCTTTAAAACTTGTACTTTTTGTGTGTGTGTGGTACTGATAATTGTGACATGTTCATTAATAAATTCACCAGGGATTAAATTCTTAGACTCTGGACTTTATACTCAACAACATATCCACTGTTGAGATATTTGAAAGTCGCTGGTTACCGAGCACAACCCGTCGCCGAATAACTATGAAATTTAAATTCTCCTCACCGGACTTAAAGAAGGAGAAAAAACAAAAAGTTTTCAATTATTGCCCACTTTTTACATATCTATTAAAAGAGTTATTTTGAATTAAAAATAGCCCTTTTGTTAGTAA